ATGTCCCTCTCACCTCCAGCCCTGCCTTACACCAAAGCCATGCTGACTTTACTCAAAATCACGCCACTCATGCCACCCCGCTTAAAGCTCTCCAGGGGCACCTGTCAAATGCCACCTGTGCCTAGGACACTTAGGGGGTGGGCTGGTCTCCTTATACCCTGCTTCCGCTGCTCCAAGCCCTCCCAGATCTAGCCTGCCCGAGAGCCTAGATCCTCCTCCCAATCCATCCAACTTCTGTCTGGTGAATGCATCCGGAGGTGAGACGGGTCCTCAGGACAGAGACCTGAGTGCGCTACACACCATGGACATAGATGGCACTCCCGTCTACCCACACTGCTGTAGCAGGCTGGACTTTGTCACGAGAGGGGGTTTTCCAAGATGCAGAGTGGAAGGGAAGAAGAAAATGCTAGCTGTTTTTCAGTGTGCGCGGTGAGGTGGGGAAGGGCTTGCCTATGCAGGGAGCGGGGAACTCACTTCCCTAATGCCATGAATCCAGTGGCTCGTGTCATTAGAAAGGAGACAGCTCTTGGGCAGGAGACACGGGCCATATAACGACAGAGGCAGAGTTGTTGGAGAGGTGAAGCCATGGGCAGGACTGGCAGGGGGGGGGGCACCACCTGAGGTATTCAGAAGGGTCCAACACCTTGGTTTCACTTTCTGCTTCCTGAGTGCAAGAGAATCAATTTCTGGTTTGTTTGTTTTTAAGATTTGTTTATTTTTACTTGTATGAGTGTTTTGCCTGCATGTATATCTGTGAACCATGTGTGCGCAGTTACTATGAAGGCCAGAAGAGGGCGTCCGATCCCCCTGGAACTAGAGTTAGGGATGGTTGTGAACCCTCATGTCAGTGCTTATGGGACTGAACCTGGTCTTTTAGAAGAGCAGCCAGTGTTCTTACCCACAGAGCCATCTCTCCAGTACCTACTTCTGCCAATCTGTGGTTATCTACTCCAGCAAACTAAGAAATTAAAACTCCAAGCATCTCTTTATAGGACAGTTTTTCACATACTCTTCAACAAAATTTGTTATGGATTTACTTTTATCTGGTCAACTAGAGAAACAGTGTCATATCCCCTTGCTGTGACACAGAGGGACACATTTATGGTCAGGTCCACTGGGGAAGCCACTGGGGAGAAGGACTTTTGAGGTCCCTCCTTATTGCCCCCGAAGAGAAAATGAAAGTATACCTTTTGCATTGGGGGCCCCTAAAAAGTTCTCCAAACCTGATTAAAATGTTGTGGGGAGAAGATTAATTTACACTGATATTAAAGTGACAGCTCCCAGTTGAGAATACCTACTGCATATCAGGAAAACTTTGTCATGGTTACCCTGCAAGGTACACTAAATTAAGCCCTGCTTAACAGGCTATGCAAGTAGGAACTGCCCGACCAGGGTTTAGACCTGTGGCCCGTGAAGTTCCACAGCCCATGATTTCCGGCTTGAATTGTGCCTGTCAACTGACACCACGGTGTTGACTGTCAGAGGAGTAGACTGGGTGGGTCTGAGCAAGTAGAGTGGCTGGTGGCCTCCTGACTAAAGAGAAAAGAGCTGAGCCCCACCCTGCAGAGGTATGCAGCAGGCATGGGGTAAGCCTGGTCCTGACATGGGACGGGTCATTGTCGCATGCAGAAAGGAAAATTGCAGACGCCTGAGTCAGGCCTCAGTTTCCTCTGTGTGCAGTGCAGCCAGGCAGTTTTAGGAATGGCTGGAACACTATTGGTGGCTGTTTCTGGGGCGTGGCTGAGTCCTGCTCACCATGGATGGGTCATGTGTGGAACAGCTGGGACTCAGACTGTCCTTTTGTGGCATATCATCTCTTCCTTCCTGAGACAAGCTCCCTTACTCCTCCGGGTACCTGCGACACTCAGGATGGCTGTACTGGTTCCAGAGCCCTCACATCCTGTGTGCCCTTCAAATTATTCCACCCTGACAGCCAAGGCCCTAAGGAGTGCTGACCTGCCTAGATCTGAGTCCACAGTTGTAACATAGATCCATATGCATGAGCAAAACTGGCCTTGCTGGCCTTTGCCAAGCGTGTCCCTACCCAGGGTCCCCACCTCAGCACTCCCTCCATGCTGTCCCCTCTGCCTGGCACATGTTTTCCAATGACTGGAAACCCAGTTTCACATGTCAAGCTCAGATGCCATCTCATATATGAAACCCTTCCTGATCGCTCAGCTCCTCAGGTACTTGGAGGAGGAGGACAGCCATCAGTGTCCCAGCTCCTTCCTCACCAACTCACAGGATCCTGCAGGCAGACAGGGGACAGTGACGGAAATAAAGCAAAACCTCCTGACATCACACACCCAGGTCAGCAGAGGGCCTGCTTGGGGCTGAAGAGTCCCTGGGGATCAGAGAGAGGCGTGGTCCCAGGGGCAGACCCCCTCCAGGTCCCTTCCCAAGAGGTCATGCAAACACAGCTACTGTACCTTGACTGTATCCAGAGGGTAGCCAACAATGACACTGGCCGCACCTGTAGGTCAAAGAACAACGTCTGGTCACCCAAACTCTGGACTCCTGGGTTGTCCCTGCCATGCCCTAGAGGAGGTCACAGAGCGGAGGTGTGTCACTCATCAGTCACTAGGGAGGTCTTAAGGTGCATGAGGTCTGGTCCAGTTACTGAGGGAGGCAGAGAGAGCAGACGCAATCCTGGGCCTTAGTTTTTAAAAGTACCCCAAAATGAGAGCTAGGGCTCAGAGACAACTGGACATCCATGTGCTGAGGAATAGAATTAGACCCTGCCTCTCATACTACATAAAAAAAAAAAAATCTATCCAAAACAGACCAAAGGGCTAAAAAAGACACACAGACACACACACACAGACACACACACACACAGGGAAAACAACCTGGGTTTTGTAACATTTATAGTTACAGTAACAAAAAAAAAAGTACAAGCAACAAAAGAAAAACAATTCTAGGTGAACTAGAATTCATGATAGATACACTCATGATAGTGAAGGCAGATGGCTTAAAAATTGCAGATGTTGTTTAAAAATCACCTGTTTGTTAAGGGTCTCAAGTCCAGAATACATGGAGAACTCTTACACCTAAAACATTGTTTAAATTGACGTCTGGGAAGAAAACATGTCAATAGCCTACAGTACATGAACATATATACTCAACATCATTGGTCACTAGAGAAATCTAAATCAAAATAACAATGACATTTTGTATCCTCTAGGATGGCTGCAACAATTTCTCAAAAAGGAAAATAAATAAAAAGTGTTGACAAAGATACAAAAGAAATGGATTTTATTTATTTATTTATTTATTTATTTATTTATTTATTTTTTGGAGACGGTTTCTCTGTGCAGCTCTGGCTGTCCTGGAACTCACTCTGTAGACCAAGCTGGCCTTGAACTCACAGAGATTCACCTGCCTCTGCCTCCTGAATGCTAGATTAAAGATGTGTACCACCATCATCTGGCTAAGAATTCATGTATGCAGTGCACCACACACATGCAGTGCCCACGGAGGCTGGAAGAGGCTGTGTGAGTTATTGAAAGTGCACAGATGGACGGACGGATGGTTCTGAGAATGAGGATGCTTGAGGCTGCCCTGGAAGAGCGGCACAGAGGCTTAACTTCTGCGCTGTCTGTCCCATCCTGAGAGCTCTGCATGCTGTGGATGGGAATGTGAGGCAGTGCCACCACTAGAAAAATGACTACTCCTCAAAAAAGTTAAGCACAGAACTACTACCCGACTCAGCACTCCCAGTCCTAGACATACCCCTGAGACTCAAAAGCAGGAACTCAAACACAAACAAGCACACCAAGGTCACTACATTGTTCATCACAGGGGACCAAGGGCAGGAACACACAGTGGCATTTCAATGAATAAATGTGGTATGTAATGATGGATTGTTATTTAGTTGAAAATAGTACTGTGTAGCCATTTCCTCCTAATGGTAACACCCTGTCCTGGAGGAAGGACCCTTAAGACTCAGGAAGTAAAACTCGCAAGTCTCAGAACTTCTTGAATCTTGTAAAATTTACCAGGTCCTGAAGTTATGTAACAGTAGAACTGCTGGAGAGAGGAGACCTGTCCAGCTACAGTGAGACCGGGTGTGCAGCAGCTTTTAGGATCCGTCGCTCATGCTGGGGCGGGCTTTTCGGTGTTGCAGCTGCCCTTGAGTCACCCACACTTCCATAACTAACCCTTTGCCTATACTCCTAGAGTATCCTAGAGTATACTCAGTAAGCTCATTGACTTGTTAAGCTGGTCTTTGACGGAATCTCTTCTTTGGACTGTCATCAATGCTCTGTCCGGGGGTGAGCAGCTACACTTGTTCCTATCTCCCCAGATAAAGTCACAAAACAGGTAGAGGTGGATGGAGTACTGACCCCTGCTGCGACTGAATATTAAGGAGGAAGAGGGGTGGGGTGAGGTAAGGGAGGGAGAGGGGGAGGGGAAGGGAGAGGGAGAACAGAGTGCCTGGCTACACACCTACTTGTGCAAGGCTGTCTCAAAGTCACCTAGATGAAGAGCCCTTTGGGGACCCTAGCAACTGGCATTCATCCAGGGTTTCTTTTCCCAGGACAAACTCCACCACATTGATGAAAAAAGGCAACACCTCTGCCAGAGGTGGCTCAACAAGCCAGGCATCAGGGACATTTGCTGCCTGGTCTAGAACCTCCTGTAGTCTTCACCCTCCACTCTCGAGTTGAGCAGCAGCCAAAGCCTTGCTCTGCTGGTCCAGCCTGGAGGTCGGAGCTCATTTCCCCAGGTGCGAGCAGACAATCTCAGGTCTGGAGCAGCAGCCCAGAGCAGTGGACAAGCATCTCCATGGGTGCAAAATAAAATGCTAGGGCAGTAGTCTGTAGAGCTTGGATGGTCTGTGGGGCTTCAGGCCAACATGGAGGTCATGGTGGTAAGGCTTTGCTGCACAGTGTCATTTAGGAAGACAAGGCATGTGACAGGGACCTCACACAAAAGCAAGCAGTGTGTGTATGGGCTTGGGTTTTACTTAGAGACTGTCATTTTGTTAACTGTTCGACTCCTGTTTTGCTTTGCTATGGTAAAACGATGGCCAATGTAGAGACACCTAATCAAAGGGTCCAGAAGAGATCGAGCTGAGGGCATCGAAGAAAGCAAGGGCTGATAGGTGACAGCGCCCAACCAGAAGGATCCTGCTCAACTCTCTTGGGCAAATGCACCATAGTGCTCCAATCCCTGCTCTACCGCCCCACCCCTGCAGGGGCAAGGCCCTTGAGACCAACCTGATCTTAAAGTCCAGGTTCCCGGCCACCCTGAGACTGGGATTCAGGAGCCAAGCCAAGTGCCAACCTAAGCACAAATTTCTTGGAGACATGTCTCCAAACCCAGTGCGTCCCGGTGAAGGGTGTGCACACACTGGGGTGGCTCCATTGGTTGTCTGCCCTGACCAGTGGTTTAATCATTATGTATGGGATCCAAGTTCCTTGGGGCCTGACACTGAAGCAAATCAGAAGCTATAGCGAGGAAATAGATGTGAATCTTCAGAGCCTTGCTTCAGAGCTGGCGGGGACATGAGGACCAGCCAGGCAGACTGGACTAGGGGTGACGGGTGTTGCTGACTTTGGGCTCCGTGATGAAACCCAGCAAGCACAATCACCTCCCAAAGCACACTCACCTCCGATCCAGCCCGCTGCAAAGTCTTCCAGCTGGAAACTGCCCATGGCCCATGCGACTGTGCCTCAACCTCCCGCAGCTGGGGCAATGTCTGTCCTGTCCGTTCAGTGTATGTGGGCCATGGCCTGGGTCTGCAAGCTCAGGCGACTCTCTTATACTGCAGGTTCTCCAAATTCAGTGTTCCAGCCACCCGCGCCTGAGCATGCTTGAGCAGTCAGCCAATGAGGGAGGGTGGCTGACTACCCGCCCTCAGAGGATCTTAAAGGTGCAGCACCCACTAGGTGTGAGCCAGGAGGCTGCCCCAATCACCTGGGGAATTCCCTTGGTATTTCTGGCCACCACCCTTGCTAGTCGTGTTGCGGCCTTCCAGGTGAAAGTAGCAGCCCCAAGAGCCAGCGTCGGTTCAGGACACACACGTTTGCAAAGTTGTTCAGAAGAGGAAGGAAGGAGGGAGGCTTTACAAACACCAAAAGCTGCCTGTCAGAGTACTCACCTGGCCAGACTCCAAGCTGTGTTGAAGGGCAAACAGCCTTGCAATAACTAACTGAAGGTTTGGGGTGATGGGTTAGTGGGAAAGGGTACTGGCTGTGCAAATATGAGGACCCGAATTTGGGTTCCCAGGACCCACATAAACACCTGGCATGGTTAGGTTCCTGGACAATCAGAGCTGAGGGTAGAGGGTGAGGGGTCCCAGAGACAGGAGGATTGCTGGGGTTTGCTTGATAGCCAGTCTAGTGGAAAGCAGAGGAGGATACTTGAGGTCCTCTTCTCCTCAACACACACACATATGCATACATGCATGCATGCATGTACACACACACACACACACACACACACATGCATACAAACTGTAATTGAACAGCATCTGCAAACCAGAAATTCTTAATGCTTTAATAGACTGACTGAAAGCCACGGACCCTTTCACTGTATGATGGAGTACACACAGTTTTCCAAGCCAGTTCTAGAGCCCACATGCCCTGGGCTGAGTCCCATCTACCAGTGAGTAATTGAATAAGGTGTGGGAGGCACCTCATCCAGAAATCAGCCTCAAGCCAGCTTCGAAGGAGTTCAAGGTTTTCCTGCACTTAACTGAAGCCCCCTCCTGAGACCTTGGCAAGTCTGTGAACCCCATTTCACGGGCCAGAAAAGCCATTTATGTTTAAAGTATAAGGTGCATATATATGTCTGTGTATACCTCACACAGAAATGGCAATCCTTTAGCAAAGTGGCCAAAGCAGGGTATGAATGTGGCCAGATCCCAGTCTGAGAACAGATTTCAACTTATTCCCCTGGTCTGTCTTCCCCAGGGGAAAACTCTATCCAGAAGGGGAATTCCTATAACCTCCTCTGATGTGAGCACACAGCACCCTCCTATGGACAGGTCTGGCCTGACTGAGCACCCCTGTATTGACATAAGAACCCTCTCACTGTGAAGAGAACACGTTTCCTGCAGGCAGGCTGCGGTAAAGCAAGGGAAACCGCTCTGCTCCAGGCGGCAGATTCTCTCTCGGCTTTTGTATTGGTAGAGGTCTCAACAGTCCAGACCTTTACCTGATAGCCGTTAGTCAAATACAGATGTGGATGGTAAAAAGACAGTTTAAGGAACAGATGGTAATTTTGGCTCTCAGTCTGCAACATTCCACCTCTCCACAATCACAACATTCTGGTGCATCAGTCAGCAGCCCTGCGGAGCCTTCTGTTAAATGAGGCTTCAGAGAACAGCACGGCATGGCAGGAGAACTCAGCTCCCCCTGGCCAGCCTTCGAAACAGTGAGGACAAGGCTGAAGACTCCCTCCAGAACCTGCCTGGAGCTAAGGAGATACAGCAGGGAGCATTCGACCTACTGTATGATGGAGCGGCTGCCAGAACCAAAGCCACATTCTGCTCAGCCAGAACTCTGTGGCTGTACTCCGGGAAGCCCGCAGGCTTGCCAGGAACACTTCTCACCCACCCACCTCAAGGCACATGCCTCTCCTCTGAACTTAGGATGCTCTGATCACACACACAGCTACCACTGTCTCAGCTAGAGGATGCTGAGGGCTTTGCACACACTGCCCCATCCTCCTGGGGGCATGTACTCACATGGCAGGATGATTCAACCAAACACTAATCCAGGTGGTGCCATGAGGGGTATGTGTATGGCTTTGGTTGGTTGGTGGCAGGTGTTATTAAGGATGCTAACCCAGGGCCTTAGCTGTGAATGTATCTATGTGTGTGTAACCAGCATTACAGTCAGCTGAACCTTGATCATCTGGGGAAGCCTCATCCAACACCCTAAAAGCAAACCTGAAAGAAGTCAGCTCCTGTCGGATGGTTTCGGTCTTCCAATCCACCCAACAAAGACTGTCTCAGGTCAACTCTGACACCACACACGGGGGCTTTTGTTTCTCAGGCACGGCCCCGGTGGACACCCATCACTGTGTCCATCTTCAAGTAAGGATGCAGAAACTGAGGTACAGAGGGAGTAAACCCGGCCCTATCAAGCTTCAGGTATTAACCCACAGCTACAAGGTGATGACGTGATTCTAGGGGCAATCTACAGATGTCACCTGTCTTTTCTAACATCTACAGATGTCACCCGTCTTTTCTAACATCTACAGATGTCACCTGTCTTTTCTAACATCTACAGATGTCACCCGTCTTTTCTAACATCTCCCTTCAACACCTCTTTTGCCCCCGTCCTCACATCTAGCCCCCCCTCCCCAGCCGGAGATGGCACTTGGCAGGTATTAGTACTGTCCTGTGCAGGCTTGCAGTGTGATGTAGGACCCCAAGGCACCTTGAGCTAGCCTGAAGCTGTTGATGGGAACTCCTTGCCCCAAGGCTGTTGTTGGTATTCTTCCCATTTTGATAACACACCTCATGGCAACACACCCCGTGATAACACACACACCTTGTGACAACATATATCTCATGACAATACATACCTCATGACAACACACACCTCGTAGGGAGGAGCTAAGCCTAAAATTCCTGTAATTTCCCACTGTGCTGTAAGTCGGTATTTAAGCCCGTTCTTGCCCCTCAACAAACGGCATTCGGCATTTGGCGTTCCGACTTTGCCATTGAACGAGTGACCCGCTGTCTTGTCTTTATTTCAATCTCTAGACCTTCGCCGATTCTTGGAACAGATGGTAGTGCGGGCGCTACAGTGTAATTTCAATCGACCGTGGCCGTTCCTCTAGCCATTTCCTCTCAGAACCCTGTGCTCAGAGTACCTAGTGGTCCAAAGTCTCTTTCTTGGGCATAGCTGGGGGTAGGGAGGTGGTTATCAAATAAGAATCACAGTTAACACTATTTAGTCCATTAACATTTAGCAAGATTTAAGAAACTATTATATCATTTATCCTATCTTTGTGTGTCTAAAGTCTGTGTAACTTTAATCCTAACTAAGGAAAACTATAACCATAACTATTTGTCTTCAACTCCCTCAAAGACCACAGAAGGATAATATATAAACTCTAGAAATAACAGAGACATCTCGACCTTGTCAGTCACCTGAAGTTCTTCTTTAATCTTCCATCTTCAGCCCATAGGGCATAGTGTGTCTGGCAGACTCTTCAGCAAAGTAGGAAACCTTAAACTGTCTTCTTGTATTGGCAGTTTGTCATTCATTTTTCTCTGTGTCCTGCAGAATGTCTGTCTGGCAGACTCTTCCATGAAGCAGGAACTCTGTAGCAATGTCCATCTTGAATCAGCAGTCACTTTTCTATGGGTCCTGCATGTCCAGTTTATACAGCATAAAGTCAAACAGTTCAGACAAGAGTAGTATCTTGTCCAAATGGCTAGTCTTGCTATATTGAAAGCAAACTTCATAACTCCTTTCTTCAAGGTCCATCTTCCTTTCTGACGTAGGTGGTGTTGCCAGGAGCATTTATGTTTCATTCTCAAGAAAATCCCTAAACCATTTTAAATGCCATTTACTGTAAGTCTTTGAAAGGTTTGAAGAATGCCTATCCATCTCAAATACATCTTGAAAACTTAAGTAACTTAACACTAAGTTTTGACTATCATAGGTAACTATCTAATATCTGTACTAATTTATACATTGCATTTCTAAATGAGCTTTATAAACAAACTACCTAAACGAGGAGAAATGTACATATCACAAAATTGACCTTAAATTGTATCAATAAATGAAAATCCATTACAAAACAAAGTATTCATATCTATATCATAATTCGTATCTATACCATAATTCCCTTTTTACCTTTAAAAAGGTTGGTTGTGGTCATTAACCATTTATAACCAAGCCCAGTTAAGTGAAAACAAACATAAACAATATTTGGGAATTTGGGCGTCGTTCTTTCCAAACTACTTCCTGCTGATAGGGGGCGCTGTCATGGGGGATCCTAAGAAGATGGCTGTAGTCTGCAAGGCTGCCTTGTTCAAGCTGTTTTGAATGTTGGATCACCAGGAATGCTGTTTCAGGGGGTCTGGCTTGCTCAAACCACATTAGCCTGGAAGGAATCCACAGCTTTTCATTTTCTGTGGAAACAAAAATAGAAATCCTTTTCCCCAGTAACTTGTCCTTGAACTTAAATTTTGGAGACAAAGTATTTTTAAAATATATAAATTGAATTGATCCAGCAGTATTTGTTTTAACAATTGTTTCCTCAGCAGTCAAAAGATACAAAGACAATATAACCCCATACAGTAACCAGATTCTCTCTGAGCTTTTCATCTTTACATGGCTTTGTTATTACTCTGCTTCTTTTACTTTTTATTTTTTCATTTTTTGAGACAGGGTTTCTCTGTGTAACTCTTATCTGTCCTGGAATTCACTCTGCATACCAGGTTTACTTTGCAAATCACAGAGATCTGCTTGCCTCTGTCTCTCGAGTGCTGGGATTAAAGGCGTGTGCCACCACACCCAGTTCCTCTTTGTGCTGGGATTAAAGGTGTGTGCCACCACACCCAGTTCCTCTTTGTCTTTTTAAAACCCTTTTATTCTTTTTTCTCCCATGTCTATGTATATTTTAAAACACACTGTAAACCTTTAGCGGTTTTTCTTAATGTGAATCTGTCTTTACTGTAAATCTTTATTTTTTTCTGGCCACGAGTCTTTTATCTGGTAAACAACATTGCTAAAATGGAAGTCATAGCTGTGTCAGCTGTGGTTTGT